GATTATTTGATACTTAAGGAGAAAAAAAAACAATTAATTAATGAAGTGGTTTGATTTTTTAAGTTTACTATAATCTATTAATAAACATAAAGACTTGTAAGGATGAAATAAGCTTATTCAAATTAGTTTTAGCAAATTAATCAGTGGGTTTCGCTTAAAACCAATGGGAAAATCAGAAATTTAGTCAGTGAAGACAATATTAACAAGAATACAGTCATGCTAGTGTTAAATACTGTCTACTTTAAAGGCTTGTGGCTGAGCCAATTTAATCCAATTCTGACTAGCACTGGAAATTTTTTTGTTTCTAAGCGCGAAACAAAGCAGGTACACAGACTTTTATATCTAAAAAATCTTTTTTCAATACTAAGCACTTGAAAGTTTCCGTATCATTTTTGTCGGTCATTTGATTATTACTGTTATTATTATTATTATTGTTATTATTATTGAGCATATTATTAAAAAGACTGGTATACGTGAAAAAATTAATACATTTGGTAGAATCAAATAACAAGAAATATGCAAGCAAAAAGGTAGTTTTAAAATACTCTACAAGTAATTCCGATTTTGCTGGGAGTTGCTCAGAATGTTTCAATTTTGTCATTTTTAGATTCCATTAATGTCTACAGACGGTGAATTTGCTTACTATCAAAACAGCCAGTTGTCTCTTATAAAGCTGCCTTACATTGGCAATGATGTAGAAATGGTAATTCTATTGCCAAGAGCACGTTTTGGCTTAAGCAACATTTTGAATCGTCTAACTGGCATGAATTTACTGGATTACATTCATAAGGCCAGAAAAACGAGTGTAGAGGTGAATATTCGTAATTGGAAAACTTGACTCTGCCAAATAAAGAACTGAAAAGTATCAAATACATATTTGAATTTGAGTTCTTATTCTCAATAACGTGGCTCAGTTTGCTCAAATATGCAAGTCTGAACAAGTGGCTGTATTTATTTTTTCCCTCTCTTTTTGCTTCAAATCATCTGAATGTATGAATAACTTCAGTAATTTTACTTTGTGACAAAAATTCAATACTTTTGATAATATAGAGCACGATTCTACTGCTCTTAATATGAAGAATATTTATTTATTCAAACTTCAGGTTAGGATACCTAAG